GCGGGGAGAGTGGTCACTGGAGCGTGGGGGGGCTGCGTCCCACACAGGCTGTGCACAGACACGGGGTGTGTTTCCGAAGCTCTGGGCTTGCTCCGGGAGTCCCTGGGCACGGCTCTCTGGTCTGCGTGATGCTGGCCCCCCCAAGTCCCCTCCGGACCATGGGACAGCCCCTGGGGCTCACCGAGTGGCCCTGATCCCCTCCCCTTGTCCTCACTGGTGCAGGGCCCTGTCCCCAGGTCTCGGGCTGCCCCGAGCCCTGCCCCTCCTAGAGCCCTGCCCCTCCTAGAGCCGCGACACGCGGTGAGCCCCGAGCCCTGCCCCTCCTAGAGCCCTGCCCCTCCTAGAGCCGCGACACGCGGTGAGCCCCGAGCCCTGCCCCTCCTAGAGCCCTGCCCCTCCTAGAGCCGCGACACGCGGTGAGCCCCGAGCCCTGCCCCTCCTAGAGCCCTGCCCCTCCTAGAGCCGCGACACGCGGTGAGCCCCGAGCCCTGCCCCTCCTAGAGCCCTGCCCCTCCTAGAGCCGCGACACGCGGTGAGCCCCGAGCCCTGCCCCTCCTAGAGCCCTGCCCCTCCTAGAGCCGCGACACGCGGTGAGCCCCGAGCCCTGCCCCTCCTAGAGCCCTGCCCCTCCTAGAGCCGCGACACGCGGTGAGCCCCGAGCCCTGCCCCTCCTAGAGCCCTGCCCCTCCTAGAGCCGCGACACGCGGTGAGCCCCGAGCCCTGCCCCTCCTAGAGCCCTGCCCCTCCTAGAGCCGCGACACGCGGTGAGCCCCGAGCCCTGCCCCTCCTAGAGCCCTGCCCCTCCTAGAGCCGCGACACGCGGTGAGCCCCGAGCCCTGCCCCTCCCCCCCAAAAGACTCATGGTGAGCCCCGAGCCCTGCCCCTCCTAGAGCCGCAACACGTGGTGAGCCCCAAGCCCTGACCCTCCTAGAGCCGCAATGCTGCGGTGAGCCCCGAGCTCTGCCCCTCCGAGAGCCCTGCCCCTCCTAGAGCCACGACACGCAGTGAGCCCCAAGCCCTGCTCCCCTGAGCTGCAAAGCCGTGGTGGACCCAGGACTGTCTTGCTCTGCCCCCCCTGCACAGAGCCACAAGGCCGCGGTGAGCTCCCAACCCCCTTGCTCTTCCTCCCACAGCCCCACAAAGCTGCAGCACCACAGTGAGCCCCGACCCTTTTGCCCTGCCCCCCACCACAGAGGTGCTCTGTGCTGCCCCACTTCGCCCTGAGCCCCCTCCACCCCCACCACAGAGCTGCGCTGACATGCAGGCCCCCAGGCCCCCAGGCAGTGCTGCAGCGAGCCCTCCAGCGTCCAGGAGACCTGGCAGTGGGACACGTCCCCTCGTGCCCCCATGCACCGTGTCCCTGCGGCAGAGCCCCCTGTGACTTGCTCTGCGTCCGAATGGGGAGGCCGAGGCTCTGAGCTCAGAGTGCCCCCTGTCCTGACCCCCACGGAGC